GCATAATGTCCTCCAAGTTCATCCACGTTATGCGGTGTTTTGCAGATTCTACATTATTCTTTAGCATTGCATAGTATTCCATTGAACACACACTTTCTTATTCATACTTTTTGTTTCATGCATCTTTATGCCAAAGCATTTATGAGTTCTAGCCTTACTGCCTACTGCAAACCAATGAAAGCATTCTTCTTTAACTCCTGCAGGTTGCTATGAGTAGGAACAGACTCAATGGCATCGGGTTTGGGTTTTTATATTAACAATCTGCCACCAATTTTCTTTTTACTATGTCTCTAGTTTTCCTTTGGCCTTTGGCTATCAATCAAAAGGTCAGTGGTTCAAAACCATCAGGCGCTCCATGGAAGAAAGATGAGACCGTCTGCTTCTGTACAGATTTACAGCCTTGAAAACCCAACATGGGACACTATGATTGAAATTGACTTGATGGCAATGAGTTTGGTTTTGAGTTTTCCTTTTACTTTTAACCTTTCTTTTACTTTGTGTGTGGTATATAGCATGGAAATGAGTTTGTTTTTTGATCTAATCTGCGTTTTTGAAAACCGGTGAATTTATTCCATATATGTTTATTCATACATACTCTTATATGCTCTTCACCTCTCAATGTATTTTTTCTTTCGGTAAAAATTTACTTCCTGTTTTCTTTTCCACCACCTCTACCTCCACAATCCACTACATTTTTCTAAGTATTTTGGATGTTTTATAGTTTAATTCTTTTAGAAGTATCTTTTATAAATTTTTACTATACTTACATATCTATTCCTTGATTTATCAACTTTAAAGATACAGCTAGCTCACTTACATTTCCTTTAACCTCCATTTACCTGGCCCATCCCCTTCTTTTCTTTTTTTTTCCATGGATGCCTTGTAGGACTTACTCTTTTTCTTTGACATTTAGTACTATCAGCAACATATGTTTCAGTGTTGATCATTACAACATAACATTTTTCTAGGATTTGGTATGTCCTTTTAAATTGCAGGTTCAGTTCTTCCTTATACATTTTATTATTTTTCTTCAAAGATGCTCACAGACATCCTTTTGTTGGAATTTTACAGTCAATCCTCAAATTTCATTATTTTTTGCAATTGCTTTTATCTCTCTTTTCTCTGGATTAATACATTGTTTCCCCTTTGATTTGTTTTCCTATCCCTTAAATCTCCCTTTCATCTTATTCTAATCTCAACTCTAATTTCATGTCTTCTACAATTATGCAGAGTGTAAAACACTCAGGAAAAATTTTCTTCTGTCGTCTAGTGTGTGCTATTACAGATTATATTTCCTTCATTCTTTCACAAGTTGTGTTGCTCCCTCATCTCTACCTGGCCACTGCAGAGTTACAATATCCTGTTTTTCATCTTACACATTCTTGATGTGAGCAGGTGTAGATGGACTACTTTAAACTACATATGGGCAGATTAGCTCCTTGAGTCCTCTCTCTCCTTATCTGGGTACTGTTCTATCTTCCTCTCAGAGGTGAGGTTTGACAGCTAGTATTAAAGGCTTGTGCTCTATATACCTTTTATGCCAGAAAAAGGGGTCACAGAAAAACACAAATAGATTTAATCTTGGCTCTTTTTTACTAGAATTTTAAAAAGTCTTGTATTGAAGTGCTGTCCCTGTTAGTCTTCTGGAATGCCTTCAGGCTTCAATTCTGATACTATCAGCCTTAGGTATTTATTTGTAACCTGCCTCCAAAATGCCATTATCTTCCAGAAGTAAAAAATTATTTTACAAATCAATATACAAACCCACATAGACAAAGTAGCACCATAATAATCTGTACAAGAAAGCCAAAAAAAAAAAAGAGGAGGTGCTCTTTGCTTAAACCAGGAGGTCAAATCATCATCAGAATAAAATGGAAACATGCACACACATCAATCCCATTACCTGCAGTATCTATCTGCAAGGATTCTTTTTCTTCTGTCCATGCTGTCTTAGGAACTATCCTCTTACTATGGATCTCCTCTTTCTGTTTAATGGCTTTGGTGTCTGGTAAATTTTTAGCACTGGAACCTGCAGAGGAAAGTTAATACAGTGTACAGATAGGAAGGTGACAAAAAGTATTTTAAAACACCTTTAAAACATTTGCTATGTGAAAGGCATTGTTACTGATGTCAAAGAAAAAAATACATCAATCAGAAATGTGTTTAGAAAACTTGATCTAAATTAGGGCCCCAAAACATGTACATAAATAGATGAAATACAAAGTAAAGAATAACATACAAGAGAGACAAGTAACCAAGTAGAAGCATTCAATCTAGGCGAAACTACTTTCAGAGAGAAGGATCATGGAAGAACATACCTATACAGCAACTGATTCAGGCACTGGAAGATAGCTAAGAGGGGATATACATTAAAACGGAAAGAGAAAGGGATTTCAGGCAAAGATGCCTATATAACAAAAGAGAAGTCAGGAAAGCAACTGAGAATCTAAGAAATAGAACAATAATATGGTTTGTTTGATTACAGGATTTATAAGTAAAAGAGGTGGGAAACAGTATCTAAAAGGTTATTTGTGGTAGAAGATTATGAGTTTAGGTTTTATTCTAAGGGCAATGGAAACTAATGAAAGTTTTTGATTAGGATATTAATATGGTAATATAATGTAATTCTGGAACATTTTTTTTTTGGCAATAGCTAAAAAGAGGATACAATTTTCAAATGTTACCCAGAGTACAATATAAGAACAAAAAATAAATAGAAAAGGTGACTAATTACACTCTAAATTGTGTTTTTAGTTTCCAACTGTGGCACAGAATACCAACTATCCCCTCCTATCCATATTCCTTTTCCTTTAAAATAGAATCTTGATTTTAGCTGGGCATATAATTACCAGAATATAGACTGTATTTCCCAGTACCCCAGACAATCTAGCTGGTTTGAGGATGTGACTAAATTCTGGCCAACAGGATATAAGAGGAATAGTACATGCAAATTCTGAGAATTATTTTTAAAGAGGGGTATATAATTCTTTCCCTTTCTTCCTTCCTGCTGGCTAGAACATGGGCATGATGGCTGTGACTTATAATAGAAGCCAAACATGTCAAGACAATAGGAAAGACCTTTGTTCCTGAAACTCTCAAGAACCACCCCTACTTCGAGATTTTTATGAGAAATAACTTTCTGTCTTCTTTAAACCAATGTTATTTTGTTTTCATTTTCATCCATCAGAGCCAAAATTAATTCTAACTTAAACACTATTTTAGACATTTTTAATTATTTTTTGTTGAGAATATACATAGCAGAACGTACACCAATTCAATTTCTACATGTACAGTTCAGTGACACTGATTAAATATCTTTGAACCATGTGACCATTCTCACCCTTCCTGAGTTGTTCCTTTCACATTAACACAAACTCACAGCCCCAAAAGTTTCCCATCCAATCTTTCAGTTGCTACTGTCAATTTGATCCTATACAGATAAATCTTAAAAAAGCACAAGGCAGACATTTTTTACTAGTTAAGTTAAACTACTGTATGGTTTTAAGATGACTTCAGGGGGATATTTTTGGTTGAAGGTTTAAAGATTATCTCAGGGTAACAGTTTCAGGGTTCACCTAACTTGCATGGCTCCAGAAAATCTGGAGTCCATGAGAATTTGAAATTCTATTCTGCATTTCCCCCCTTTTGATCTGCATTATTCTATAGAATCTTTGATCAAAATGTCCAGTAATATTAGCTGGGCACCATCTAGTTTTTCTGGTCTCATGGCAAAGGAGGCAGTTGTTCATGAATGTAATTCACCATATATTCTATTTCCATCCCCTATTACTGACTCTCCTTCTTGTGTTGCTCCAGGAGAATCAAAACCAATTGCTATGCCTTGGATAGCTGTTCGCAAGCTTTTAAGACCACAGACACTTTGCAGTGAACTAGGAGGTAGTACAGAAGCACTAAATATGTTATTAGGCCAATTAACTAAGATGTACCATGAAACCATGAGCCTAAACTTCCAAAACAAGGAATCAAATCCCATGAAGTATTTCACTGTACATAAACTAAAAGTAGTTCAATAACTACTTTTTTGTTGTTGTAAATATATCATCCAACTTTTGCCAATTCAATGTTTTATAAGTGTACAACCTATTGACAGCAATTACATTAACTGACTGTGCAACTCTATCCTTAATGCAAGTTTTCCATCACCGTAAACCTAGAGTCAGTAGTCTATAAATAATGATTCCACTTTCCCTCTCCATCTTGACCTTGGTAATCACTAGGAAACTTTGGTCTCTACTCATTTTCCTGTACTTGTCTTTTTGTATAAGTGAGGTCATATATTTTAAATCAGTATAGTCCCACTTAATTCAAATAACTGGATACATGGTTAGGAAGCAAGTAAGGAAGGAGAATTTCTCTAAAGAACAAAGCCTTATATACAGCAAGTAAGACTGGAGACTCAGCATTGAACATTTTTATCAACAGAGGTTAAAAGTCCATATGTGAATTTTTGGCAATGAGCTTGATTTGTGCACTGTATTCACAAAGATCTTAAAAAAATTTCAGTTTTAAAAATACCAATTTTACCTGTCAAAGTACACCAAAAAATACAACTAAAAATATCTTAACTATTTCACAAATGAGTAAGACAGAGGAGGGTTGAAGACAGCAAAGAGAGAACAGAGTATATATTTGTTTACACTCCAAAGGAACAATCTCATTTGAGAAGACCACAACAAAATATGCATTCAATCCAGTTTAGTTACCTGCACTGTCTTTCTGTAAGGATTCTTTCTCTTCAGGTGGGGTAGGTTTAGTCTCTTCTTTAAATTTTTTGTCTGAGAGGTTCTCATCCTCAGTGATGGACACTTGAACTGGGATATTATTTGAATGCACAGAGACAGAAAAGATAATAAATACAACAGACAAGTAAAATAACAAAGATAACGTTATATAATAGGAAAGAAGCACCTTTTACCCTACTATGTAAAAGCTGTGACAGTTATGGTAGGCTTATAACATGAATCGGAAAGGTTTCCATACATTTCTGTGTGCAATAACAGTTAAATAACACTTTAAGGAAAATCTGTTCTTTGATGGTATGATGCAATGGTTTTTTTTTTAAAGGTCCAGATCAAGTATCTTTTCTCAAAGAAGATTTTTAAATCCTTTTGGGTTCTTTAGTTTGTATTCAAAGATTTTATCACTTTTGCAATCAATTTTGGCATTTCATATGACCTTAGAAAAGCATCTGTATCATCAAGATTTTATATACAGCATGCTCATGTAGTTTTAAAAAAATGTCCTGTAGTTATAACCTTTTGAACTCTTATATTTTCTATTTCTCTTTTCTTTTTTGGGTCATACTCGCTGGTAATTCGTTAATTTTATTGGTCTTTTCAAAATCACCTCTTTTATTCCATGGAAAAATTCAAGTGCAAAATAACATGTGTTAATACATTAAAAAAGCACAAACACAGCAACTAGGATAAAAGTCATCAAACAGTTAAAAATGGTTACATTTTTGCAAGTTTGACAAGAGAATAATTTCTTATGTCTAGGCACAAATATTTTCAACAAAGAAATCAGAAAAGCAATACAGAGTATAAAAATACATCAAAGAACCAGCCTTGGCTTTACTTATCATGCTACAATTTTTTCCTTTTAAATTTATTAATTTTTCTTAATTTTATTACTTCAGCTCTCCCAACAATTTCTTTGATCTAATTGTTTTCTGAAATGTTTAGGTCATTAAAAAAAATTTAACCAGTAATAAAATATTTCAGGCCTACTAAGATACAAATAAATAACATAATGAACACTAGTCTATCTACCTCAGAACTTAAACAAAATATTACATTTACAGTCATTTCCTGGGTAAGTCTCAATGACACCACTCTTTCTCTCCTCAGCAGTAACCATTATAATGAATTTGTTGTTGTTGATATTTGCCATGGAGTCGGACCCGACTCACAGCGACCTCTCCCCTCGGGTTTCCGAGGCATTATCACTATGGAAGTAGATGCTTCCCCTTTATTCCTCCTTCCAGTCTTCCCAGGCTGAGGGTAACATTTACCTGATACTTAATATACTTAAGTATTTGTGTCTTACTGTCTTCTTTTGCTTTAGGATTGCAAGATTTATCCAGTGCTGTTGTAGATAGTTATCTTTCATTCATTCTCATTTGCTGATTAGTATTCAATGGTATCCTAGGCTGGATAAATACCAGGCATCTGGGCAGTTTCCAGTCTGAAGTTAGTACAAATATTGCTGTGAAGGCTATTTGTGTACCTATCTCTTGGTGCTTGTGTGAATTAATTTCTGTTGAGTATTATAGCTATAAGCAGAACTGCTGGGTCAAAGGTTATGCTTTTGTGCAACTTTAGTAAATAAGGCTAAACTTTCTAAAGCCATTTTAGTAATTTACACTCCCATCAGCAGTCACTGAGTGTCACTTAAAATTCTCACCAACCTGTGGTACTGTCTTTTGCATTGCAGTTATTCTTCTAGCAGGTATGTATGAAGAGCGATTTTTTTTTTTTGTGACTTTAATTTGCATTTCCCTATTGATTAATGAAGTTAACTATTTTCCATATATATATTTGCTACTGCTTTTCTCTTTTATAAAGTACCCATCCGAATCTTTTGTTCATTTTTCTTCCTTTTGACTACCTTTTACATATTGATTTGTAAAAGTTCCTCATATATTCCATATGAGCCATTGTGAGATATATGTATTGCAAATATCTTCCCCACTCTGTGGCTTGCCTTTTACTCTCTGGTGTCTATAATAATAGAATTTAATTTAATGTGCCCTATTTACCAAAATTTTCTTTTTTTGGGGGGGGTTACTGTTTAATGAAATAATTTCATATCCCAATATTATGAATACATATTTCTTTTCTTTTAGACTATTTACACATACACACACATATATCCATCTATTTTTATATTTAGATCTATAATCAATTTGGAATTTCATTTTGTGTATAGTGTGAGCTGGGGTGGTGGTGGTGTCAATAATCTTTTTATCCTCTATATGAATAATAACTTACTTAGTACACTTTATTGAAAATAACACCCTATTCCTACTCTACTGCAATGATGCCTTTATCATAAATCAAGTATTCATATATGTGTGAATATGTTTTGGACTTTTCTATAGTCAGTTTTTTTTTAAGCTTGTGCCTATAACACATTGTCTTCATTACTACAGCTTTACAGCAAGTTTTGATATCTGGTCATGCACATCCTTTATTCTTGTTCTCCTTTTTCAATATTGCCTTGGCTATCTATTCTGGGCATTCTGCATTTCCTTTTCAATTTTAGAATAACCTTGCAGAAGAATACACCAGGTGGGATTCTGATCAGATCTATCACTTTTTTGGACATTTGTATTTAGGGGTTTAACTTTACCTCTAAACATGACTAACTATCTTCTGTAAGTTTTGATATGAGGTTTTTATTATTATTCAATTCTAAATATACTGTAATTTCCTTAATGATTTCCTCTTTAACGTCTGAGTTACTTAGAGGCACATTTTTGAATTTTCAAATATACGGGTGAGTCCCTGGGTGGTGCAAATGGTTAATGTGCTTGGCTGCTAACCCAAAAATTGAAGGTTCAAGTCCACCCAGAGGTGCCTCAGAAGAAAAACCTAGTGATCTATTTCCTGAAAATCATATGGAACACAGTTCTATTCTGACACAAATGGTATATAGCCTTGACTTGACGTGATGGCAACTGGTATGTATCTGTTGTTGTTAAGTGCCGTCAAGTCGTTTCCGACTCATAGCGACCCCATGCACAGCAGAACGAAACACTGCCCGATCCCGTGCCAGCCCCACAATCCCTGCTATACTTGAGCCCGTCAAGTATGTATGTATCTAGGTGGTATTAATTTCCTAAGACTGTGGTTAACATATTACCACAATTTGTTGGCTTAAAACAACAAAAATTTATTCTAAACAGTTCTGCAGGCTAGAAGTTTAAAATCAAGGTTGGCAGGGCCATCCTCACTCTAAAGAGTCTTCTTGCTTCTGAAGGATCCTGGCATTATTTGGCTTGTGGCAGCAAGCCACAATCTCTTTAATCTCTGCCTTGGTATTTGAATGACCTTCTCTGTGTCTCTCTGCATATATTCTCTTTTGATAATAATAGCCATCTTTGGATTAAGGGCACACTAGAAATCCAAGATGAAATCCAAATCATCTCAAGACTCATAACTAGTTCAATGAATAAAAGCTCTATTTCCAAATAAGGTCATATTTTGAGGTTCCAGGTGAACATGGATCATGGGGGGACACTATTCAAAACCCATTATACATGGGGTTTTTCTTTCATCACTCCATATTTTTATTGTTGAGCTCAAATTTATCTGCATTGTGGACAGGGAAGCTCACCTGTATGAACATCATCAATTCTTTGAAATCTATTAAGATTTCATCCTTGAAGAACAATTTCATCAACTTTTCTGTTTTATGTGTTCTTAAAATTACGCAAAGATCTCTATTATCAAAGTTGTTAACTCTGTTGTCCAAATCCTCTCTAATTTTATTTCCTAATATGTTTCTGACAGACATGTGCTGTGAAATTTACTTACACAATTCTGTTATTTTTCCTGCAAATAAGATGGGGGATGTGTATATAATGTCTTTAATTTTATCTTCCTGGTGCACTGACTCTTTTGAATTGTTTTACCTATGTTAATGTTTTTTGGTCTGGGTATTTATTTTGTCTAATGTTAATACTGCTCACTAGCTATTCTTTGGTTAGTATTTGCCATATTATGTATCTATTCCCATCTCTTTACAGCTTTTAAGGGAAGGATGATACAAACCATGATTTGATCAAAGTTTCTCTCTCTCTCTCTCTCACATACACACACAGAGGTATGTGTTGCTTAATGATCATTTGAACATCAGACCTATGTCTGCAGTCTCATGAGGACTTATTTCTTTAAAAGAGAAAGTAGTTCTTCTGTTTACTATTTCCCCCTAATAGGTTTAAAGACCCCAAACCCAGACTCTTGAAACACTGGACCACAGGTGAGACACAGGCAGGTAAGGCAGAGTACAAGCTTCTGGGCATGGGCTCTCAGGCTTTGTCTGGTGCATGGAACAGCAGGAGGGCTAGGTGAGCTCTGTTTTCTCCCCACTCACTTCCTCTTGCTCTGCTCCAGCGACTGCCCTCTCAGCTGTGCTGCCCCATTCCTCCAGCCTCCTCCAGTAGCAGTAGCAATGGTTCTAATATTGTGTTTGTATAATGTCCAAATCACATAATGTCCTATTTCACAAAACGTATTGTGGATGTTAGGTGGCACATACATGTATGCAAGGGTGTACGTAATTTGTGTGTTTATCCATGCTTTTGAAAGTGAAATAGTTTTAAGAGGCTTCTAACAAATATCAGCAGTTTCTTGTGCTATCCCAACCCCAGTTTCCAAAGTCCACCATTTTTAACTCTTGTTTCTTCTCATACCAATATTATTTCCAAATAATATGCTTTATTCTATTGTATCTTTTTCAACACCAGAAATAATCTATTCATTTCCTACTATGACCAACATAAATTTATTTCTTACAAAAACTCTCCTATCATACACAACTGTTCCTATCTTCTAAGCAGTTTTGGCCCTACATTAATACTCAGTATTTATATATTACATTATGTAAACAGTAGCCACAGTAGTAAAAGCAATACTCAGTGTTCACAGATTATATAAGTATATTCACAACTAAGCCAAATGTTGTTGTGGTCAGTTGTTATTAATTTGGTTCCAACTCATGGCAACCTTATGGATAACAGAACGAAACACTGTCTGGTCTCACATCATCCTTATGATTATTGTTATGTTTGAGCCAGCTGTTTTAG